ACCTACAAGAAGCACGGCCTGAACATCAAGCAAAAAGTGGGTGCTAGAAACAACATCATATGAAAGCTGACTGGCACAACCTGGGGATCACAACCAGACACAGTGAAGACATCTGCCCTTGCGCTATGCTACTCTGCTGCTGAGTACGCATGCCCAGTAAGGAACACATCTCACCACACTAAAACAGCGGATGTGGCTCTTAATGAGGCACGCTGGGTGCCGTGCCTCAAGACCTTGGCCTGCACTTAAACACAATCGGGGCTGACCAGATCACCACCTGCCAGCTGCAGAAGGCTACCTTACTGGGATCTGCACACATTATTTGTCAATACATCACACAGTCTGAGACACTTGGGAAGGGTCTGACATGTGATCCAATACAACAGCCAGCGGAGTGATCTTGTCTGCTGTGGACTCATCTTGTTATTATGCTGGAATGTGTCCAGAGGAGGGCGACTAAAAGGATCACAGGTGTGGAGAACAAGCCCTATGAGGAGCGGCTTAGGGAACTGGGCATGCTTAGCCTGAAGAAGAGAAAGCTGAGAGGAGACATGATGAGGGCCATGTATAAATATGTGAGAGGAAGCCACAGGGAGGAGGAGGAGGGAGCAAGCGTCCTTTCTGCTGCCCTGGAGACTAGGACGCAATGGAGGAATAGCTTCAAACTACAAGAGAGGAGATTCTACCTGAACACGAGGAAGAACTTCCTGACTGTAAGAGCTGTTCAGCAGTGGAACTCTCTGCCCCGGAGTGTGGTAGAGGCAGGGGTGGCTCAACCCATTATGCAAAGTAAGCATTCGCAGTATAGTTGATTTTGCCCAGGAGTGCTCTTGGGGGAAGATAGACCGTGGCATATGCGAGTTGTAGTTACTGGGATGTATGGTTCACTTAAAACCAAAGAGCATTCTGAACTCCACCAGTGATGGAATTGAACCAAATATGGCACACAGAACTCCCACGACAAACAGAAAATATATATCAGTGATTGTAGTTGCTGGGTTGTAGTTACTGGGATGTATGGTTCACCTACAATCAAAGAGCATTCTGAACTCCACCAGTGATGGAATTGAACCAAATATGGCACACAGAACTCCCACGACAAACAGAAAATATATATCAGTGATTGTAGTTGCTGGGTTGTAGTTACTGGGATGTATGGTTCACCTACAATCAAAGAGCATTCTGAACTCCACCAGTGATGGAATTGAACCAAATATGGCACACAGAACTCCCACGACAAACAGAAAATATATATCAGTGATTGTAGTTGCTGGGTTGTAGTTACTGGGATGTATGGTTCACCTACAATCAAAGAGCATTCTGAACTCCACCATGATGGAATTGAACCAAATATGGCACACAGAACTCCCACGACAAACAGAAAATATATATCAGTGATTGTAGTTGCTGGGTTGTAGTTACTGGGATGTATAGTTCACCTACAATCAAAGAGCATTCTGAACTCCACCAGTGATGGAATTGAACCAAATATGGCACACAGAACTCCCACGACAAACAGAAAATATATCAATGATTGGTGGGGGGGGGGGGGCACCTAAAGTACTGTTTGCTTACCATTGAAAATTACCTAGGGCTGCCTCTGGGTGGAGGCTCCTTCTTTGGAAGCTTTGAAGCAGAGGCTGGATGGCCATCTGTCGGGGGTGCTTTGAATGCAATTTTCCTGCTTCTTGGCAGAATGGGGTTGGACTGGATGATGGCCCACCAGGTCTCTCCCAACTCTAGGATTCTATGATTCTATCATCATCATCATCATCATCATCATCATCATCATCATCATCATCATCATCATCACCATCACAACAACAACAACAACAATGGGTTGGGCTTCCCAAGGAGTCCCGCTTTTTATGACCGAACAACAACAACAACAACAGCCACAACTCTTGCTCCTACTCCGAATGGGCCGGGCTTCCCAACTGCCCTCCCTTGCCTCCTTCCTCCCTTCCTTCCCGGCCGGGGAGCCTCTGTCCGCAGCGCCTGGTCAGCAGGAGGGAGGAGAGAGAGAGGGGGGGGGGGGGAGAGAGCCCTTCGGCCCTTGAGCCAAGCGGACGGAGTAGGGAACCAGGAGGAGGAAGAGGAGGAGGAAGAGGAGGACTGTTCGCTTGACCGCCCGGAGGGGAGAGGAGAGGAGAGGAGCCGCCGCCGCCGCCACTCCAGGTCAGAGACAGCAAGGGGCTCGGGAATTTGGGTTTGGGGGGGGGGGGTTGTCTCCTTCCCTGCCCCTTCCCTTCCTTTGAGGCCGAAAGAGGGGGGGGGGTTGTATTTTGGGGGGGGGGAGGGGGGCGGGGGGGGGGGGGGGAGGGGTCGGGGGGGTGGAGGGAGCCGCCTCTGCTTGGACCAAAGAGGGTCGCCAAGGGGAGGGAAAGGGGGCTGCCTTCTCTTCTCTCCTCTCCTCTTCTCCTCTCCCTCTCCCCCCTTGGCCACTCTGGATGCCGTGCCCCCCCCCTTCCCCCCCCCCCCCCTAGGACACTCTCTTCCTTGCCGGGTGTTTCTTGGTCGGCTTTTATGGCTTGGAGGGAAAGCGGCGCTCTTGGCCCGTAAAAGTGCCAGAAGGAAGGAAAAAGGAAAGAGAGAAGGAGGGAAGAGAGAAGAAGAGAAGGGAAGGAAGAGAAGGAAAGGAGAGGAGAGGAAGGAGAAGGAATTAGCTTGGCCAAACATGGAAGGAACGGGAAAGGAAAGAGAAAGAAGTAAAAGGAAGGAAGGAAGGAAGGAAGGAAGGAAGGGGAGAGAAGGAAGAGAGAAAGAGAGAAAGAGAAGCAGAGGGGAAGGAAGAGAAGGAAAGGAGAGGAGAGGAAGGAGAAGGAATTAGCTTGGCCAAACATGGAAGGAACGGGAAAGGAAAGAGAAAGAAGTAAAAGGAAGGAAGGAAGGAAGGAAGGAAGGAAGGGGAGAGAAAGAATGAAGAGAAAGAGAGAGGAAGGAAAGGGAAGAAAGAAGGAAAGGAGAAAGGAAAGGAGAGAAGGAAGGAAGAGAAGGAAAGGAGAGGAGAGGAAGGAGAAGGAATTAGCTTGGCCAAACATGGAAGGAACGGGAAAGGAAAGAGAAAGAAGTAAAAGGAAGGAAGGAAGGAAGGAAGGAAGGAAGGGGAGAGAAAGAATGAAGAGAAAGAGAGGCAAGCAGAAGGGAAAGGAAGGAAGGAAAGAAGAGAGGAAGGGGAAAGAAGGAAAGGAAAAGAAAGAACAGGAGTGGAAAACAGAAAGGAGGGAAGAGAAGGAAAGAAAGGAGAAGAAGAAGAAGAAATAAAGAACTTGGCCAAACATGGAAGGGAAGGGGAGGGAATGGAAGGAAAAAGAAGTAAAGGAAAGGAAGGAGTGAAGGGAAAGAAGTGGAAAGGAGTAAAGGAAAAGAAAGAACAGAAGGAGAGAAAAACAGAAAGGAAGGAAGAGAAGGAAAGAAAGGAAAGAAGGAGGAAAAGGAAGGAAGGAGAGAAAGGAGAAATAAAGAACTTGGCCAAATATGGAAGGAAAATAAATAAATAAAGGGGAACAAGGACTGAAAGGATAACAGAAAGAACTGAAAGAAAGGGGGGAGGAAAAGAAAGAACAGAATGAGAGAAAAACAGAAAGGATTGAAGAGAAGGAAGGAAAGAAAAAGAGGAAGGAAAAATAAAGAACTAGCTTGGCCAAACATGGAAGGAAGGGAAAGGAAAGGGAAAAAAAGGGAAGGAAGAGAAGGAAAGGAGAGGAGAGGAAGGAGAAGGAATTAGCTTGGCCAAACATGGAAGGAACGGGAAAGGAAAGAGAAAGAAGTAAAAGGAAGGAAGGAAGGAAGGAAGGAAGGAAGGGGAGAGAAAGAATGAAGAGAAAGAGAGGCAAGCAGAAGGGAAAGGAAGGAAGGAGGAAGGAGGAAAAGAAGAGACAGAAGAGAAAAAGAAAGGATGGATAGAAGAGAAAAAAGGAGAGGAAGGGAAAAATAAAGAACTAGATTGGCTACAAATGGAAGGAAGGAAAGGAAAAAGGAGGTAAAGGGGTTCAAGGAAGGATTAAAGGAACAGAAAAAGAAGTAAAGAGAAGGCAGGAAAGGGAAAAAGAAAGGGAACGAGAGCAAATCAGAAAGGAAAGAAGAGAAAGAAGGAGAGAAAGGAGAAATAAAGAAGTAGCTTGGCCAAAACATAGAAGGAAGGAAAATAAAAGAGTAAGAAGTAAAAGGAAGTACTGAAGGGAAAAGAGAAAGGAAGGAAGAAAGGAAAGAAGGAAAGAAGGGAAGGGATGCAGGAGGAGAAGGAAAAAAGGAAGGAAAAAAAGGAAGGAAGGGGATGCAGGAAGAGAAGGAAAAGAAGGAAGGAAGGAAGGAAGGAAGGAAGGAAGGAAGGAAAAGGGATGCAGGAAGAGAAGGAAAAAAGGAAGGAAAAGAAGGAAGGAAGGAGGGAAGGGAAGGAGGGAGGGGATGCAGGAAGAGAAGGAAAAAAGGAAGGAAAAGAAGGAAGGAAGGGAAGGAGGGAGGGGTGCAGGAAGAGAAAAAAAAAGGAAGGAAAAGAAGGGAGGGAGGGAGGGGATGCAGGAAGAGAAGGAAAAGAAGGAAGGAAGGAAGGAAGGAAAGGAGGGAGGGGATGCAGGAAGAGAAGGAAAAAGGGAAGGGAAAAAAGGAAGGAAGATGATGCAGGAGCCCTTTCTTGGCTTTGTGGAAGGATAGAGCCTCTCCTTGTTTGTTTTTGGGGGGAAGTTTGAGGAGCCCCTTCTTTGCTTATGGGGTGGTGGTGGTGATGGGGGCTTTGGTGCATCCAACCCAAAGCAATTGGGGAGGGGGCTTGTCCCATTGAACACCCACTGCTGCCTCTCCAGACCCGCCAATTGGGGAAATGCTTTCCCTTCCTGGGATGGATGTGCAGAGGCAAACAGAAGCAAAGAGAGGCAAACTTTCTGTGGGCCTGTCCCTCTGCGCATGCCCCATTCCCTCTCTGCTCTCCTCCTCCTCTTCCTCCCCCCAAAACATAAACAGTAGTAAATCTCTCCTGGCGCATCCCTGCCAGTGGCTGGGACTCACACACACAGAGGCACACACACACACACTCTTTCTCAGGCCTGGCAGGCAGGCTGCCCTTCCTGTGCGCACAGATCCCTCTCTGTGTGCCGGCCTGGTTGGGGGCCTCCCTGGAGCACCGGCCACAGCACCAGGACACTGGGAAGGCACTGGGACCCAACTGGGACCCAACTGGGAGGAAGGAGAACAAGGTAAAAGGAGGGGGAAGGAGGGGGGGTTGATGTTTAGAAACACTCCGGCACATTGATGTTTTGAAAGAGGACAGGAATGCGCATGGATTTGGCGATGGAGGTGACATTCGTGCCGGAAAACAGTCCCATTTTTGGGACTGTAGGTTTTTTGCTGATCTTGAAGGAGCTGGGGGTGGTGACGGCCAACAGGGAGCTCTGGCGTGGGCTGGTCCATGAGGTCACGAAGAGCCGGAGACGACTGAACTAATGAACAACAACAGGTTTTTTTGGGCTATGTGGACATGTTCTAGAGCCATTTTCTCCTGACATTTCGCCTGCATCTATGGCAAGCATCCTCAGAGGTAGTGACGTCTGCTGGAACTAGGAAAATTGGGTTTATATATCTGTGGAATGACCAGGGTGGGACAAAGGACTCTTGTCTGCAGGAGATAGGTGTGAATGTTTCAACTGACCACCTTGATTAGCATTTGATGGCCTGGCAGTGCCTGGGGCAATCTTTTGTTGAGAGGTGATTAGATGTGCCTGATTGTTTCTCCTCTGTATTGTCGAAGGCTTTCATGGCCAGAATCACTGGGTTGTTGTAGGTTTTTTCAGGCTATATGGCCATGGTCTAGAGGCATTCTCTCCTGACGTTTCGCCTGCATCTATGGCAAGCATCCTCAGAGGTTGTGAGGTCTGTTGGAAGTAGGAAAAAGGGTTTATATATCTATGGAATGACCAGGGTGGGACAAAGGACTCTTGCCTGCTGGAGCTAGGTGTGAATGTTTCAACTGACCACCTTGATTAGCATTTGATGACCTGGCAGTGCCTGGGGGAATCTTTTGTTGAGAGGTGATTCGATGTCCTTGTTTGTTTCCTCTCTGTTGTTATGCTGTCCCATTTTTGCAGATCTGGCTGAAGGAATGTCTTAGATGAGAATTCTGTGGACCCAAAAGACACACTTGGTATTCACTGAGAGTGGGTGCATGATGTGCACAACAAGGCACAAAAGTACAGGGCTGACGGCCTGGGTCTGTCTGTCTGCACTGCAGTTTGGCACCCCTTCTAACTTCCCTGGCTCCAGGCTGTGCAATCCTGGGAGATGTAGTTTGTAGTTCTAGCAAGGCCCCAGACAGCCCTCTTTGGCAGAGACAATTGCCTTGTCAAATTGCAAATCCCAGGATCACAGAGCAGAGTCCTTCTCAACCTTCCTAATGCGTGACCCCTTAATATTGTGTTTTGTTTTGTTGTTGTTGTTGTGTCAGGAATGACTTCCTGACTGTGAGAGCCATTCAGCAGTGGAACTCTCTGCCCCGGAGTGTGGTGGAGGCTCCTTCTTTGGAAGCTTTTAAGCAGAGGCTGGATGGCCATCTGTCAGGGGTGATTTGAATGCAATATTCCTGCTTCTTGGCAGAATGGGGTTGGACTGGATGATGGCCCAAGAGGTCTCTTCCAACTCTTGGATTCCATGATTCTATGACTTGACAAACTGCAAGTCGCTTCTGGTGTGAGAGAATTGGCTGTCTGCAAGGATGTTGCCCAGGGGACATTGCCCGGATGTTTTGATGTGTTACCATCCTTGTGGGAGGCTTCTCTCATGTCCCCTTTACATGGGGAGCTGGAGCTGACAGAGGGAGCTCATCCGTGCTCTCCCCGGATTCGAACCTGCAACCTGTCGGTCTTCAGTCCTGCCGGCACAGGGGTTTCACCCACTGCGCCACTGGTTGCTCTTGTGGTGACCCCCAACCATAACATTATTTATGTTGCTGCTTCATAACTGTAATGTTGCTACTGTTGTGAATCGCCATGTAAATATCTGATATGCAGGGTGTATTGTCATTCACTGGACCAAATTGGGCACAAATACTCAATATGCCCAAATGTAAACACTGGTGGAGCTTGGGGGAAATAGACCTTGTCATTTGGGAGTTGTAGTTGCTGGGATTTATAGTTCACCTACAACCAAAGAGCATTCTGAACTCCACCAACGATGGATTTGAACCAAACTTGGTGGGCATTGACCTTGGTGGGCATTGACCTTGAGTTCAGGAGTTGTAGTTCACCTACATCCAGAGAGCCCTGTGGAGTCAAACAATGATGGATCTGGACCATCTGTACTCCACCAAAAATGGAATTGAACCAAACTTGGCACACAGAACTTCTCATGACCAACAGAAATTACTGGAAGGGTTTGGTGGGCATTGACCTTGAGTTTGGGAGTTGTGGTTTATCTATATCCAGACAGCACTGTGGAGTCAAACAATGATGGATCTGGACCATCTGTACTCCACCAAAAATGGAATTGAACCAAACTTGGCACACAGAACTTCTCATGACCAACAGAAATTACTGGAAGGGTTTGGTGGGCATTGACCTTGAGTTTGGGAGTTGTGGTTTATCTACATCCAGACAGCACTGTGGAGTCAAACAATGATGGATCTGGACCATCTGAACTTCACCAAAAATGGAATTGAACCAAACTTGGCACACAGAACTTCTCATGACCAACAGAAATTACTGGAAGGGTTTGGTGGGCATTGACCTTGAGTTTGGGAGTTGTGGTTTATCTACATCCAGACAGCACTGTGGAGTCAAACAATGATGGATCTGGACCATCTGAACTTCACCAAAAATGGAATTGAACCAAACTTGGCACACAGAACTTCTCATGACCAACAGAAATTACTGGAAGGGTTTGGTGGGCATTGACCTTGAGTTTGGGAGTTGTGGTTTATCTACATCCAGACAGCACTGTGGAGTCAAACAATGATGGATCTGGACCATCTGAACTTCACCAAAAATGGAATTGAACCTAACTTGGCACACAGAACTTCTCATGACCAACAGAAATTACTGGAAGGGTTTGGTGGGCATTGACCTTGAGTTTGGGAGTCAGTCAGTCAGTAGCCTTTATTTCGGTCAACAAACCATCGGCTAAGAGTTTGGGAGTTGTAGTTCACCTACATCCAGAGAGCACTGTGGAGTCAAACAATGATGTATCTGGACCACCTGAACTCCACCAAAAATGGAATTGAACCGAACTTGGTACACACAACTCCATGACTACCAGAAAATACTGGAAGGGTTTTTGGTGGGCATTGACATTGAGTTTGGGAGTTGTAGTTCACCTACATCCAGAGAGCACGGTGGACTCAAACAATGATGGATCTGGAAAACTTGGCACAGATACTCAATATGTCCAAATGTGAACACTGGTGGAGTTTGGGAAAATAGACCTTGACATTTGGGAGTTGTAGTTGCTGGGATTTATAGTTAACCTACAATCAAAGAGCATTCTGAACTCCACCAACAATGGAATTGAACCAAACTTGGCACACAGAACTCCCATGACCAACAGAAAATACTGGAAAGGTTTGGTGGGCATTGACCTTGAGTTTTGGAGTTGTAGTTCACCTACATCCAGAGAGCACTGTGGACTCAAACAATGATAGATCTGGACCAAACTTGGCACAAATCCAATATGCCCAAATGTAAACACTGGTGGAGCTTGGGGAAAATAGACCTTGACATTTGGGAGTTGTAGTTGCTGGGATTTATAGTTCACCTCCAATCAAAGAGCATTCTGAACTCCACCAACAATGGAATTGAACCAAACTTGGCACACCGGACTTCCATGACCAACAGAAAATACTGGAAGGGTTTGGTGGGCATTGACCTTGAGTTTGGGAGTTGTAGTTCACCTACATTCAGAGAGCACTGTGGACTCGAACAATGATAGATCTGGACCAAACTTGGTACCAATCCTAAATATGCCAATGTGAACACTGGTGTAGTTTGGGAAAATAGACCTTGACATTTGGGAGTTGTAGTTGCTGGGATTTATAGTTCACCTACAATCAAAGAGCATTCTGAACTCCACCAACAATGGAATTGAACCAAACTTGGCACACCGGACTTCCATGACCAACAGAAAATACTGGAAGGGTTTGGTGGGCATTGACCTTGGGTTTTGGAGTTGTAGTACACTTACATCCTCTGCCTCAATAGCCTTGGAAGAGAGAAAATGAATCCATCCCCAAATAGAAGGGCCAAATGCTCCTTTTGCAGGGCATTTTGCAGGACTGAGGCCAAAGGGGAGGAATCTCAGGGCAAGCGCGCTGCCTTGGAAATGTCTCTGTGCCTGTATTCCTCATTTGTTAGACTTGGTTGTTGTGTGGCTCAAACTCTGTGATATTTTTGCCAGATCCATGAGATCCCAGGGAGTGTTCCCAAGGACACAGGATCCCACTGTTTGTTGTTTGTTATTATTTACTCTTGCCAGGAAGAGTGAATAATTGATGCGCGTTTGCAAAGGGAAGGTTGGCCCTTGGGTTGTGTTAAAGACACCAACACACAATATCACACATCATTGTATTGTCAAAGGCTTTCATGGCTGGAATTATTGGTTTGTTGTGTCTTCCAGGCTGCCTGGTCATGTTCCAGAAGCATTCTCTCCTGACGTTTCACCTGCTTCTATGTTGTTGTTGTTATTGCTGTTGTTGTTGTTGTTTTGTTTCCAGACATTGAAATAGCCTCGACTTCCCCATCACAATATGGGAAGGGTCAGCTTGGACCAGTCTCTTCTATGGGTTGCTGTGAGTTCTCTGGGCTACCTAGCTATGTTCAGAAGCATTCTCTCCTGACGTTTCACCTGCTTCTATCTTGTTGTTGTTGTTGTTGTTGTTTTGTTTCCAGCCCTTGAAATGGCCTTGACTTCCCCATCACAATATGGGAAGAGTCAGCTTGGACGAGTCTCTTCTATGGGTTGCTGTGAGTTCTCTGGGCTACCTAGCTATGTTCAGAAGCATTCTCTCCTGACATTTCACCTGCTTCTATCTTGTTGTTGTTGTTGTTGTTGTTGTTGTTTTGTTTCTAGCCCGTGAAATAGCCTTGACTTCCCCATCACAATACGACAAGGATCAACTTGGACTAGTCTCTTCTATGGGTTGCTGTGAGTTTTCCAGGCTGCCTGGCCATGTTCCAGAAGCATTCTCTCCTGATGTTTCGCCTGCTTCTATGTT